TATTTTGTTTAGTTTTTATTTTATTTTATTTTATTTAGTTTTTATTTTATTTTATTTAGTTTTTATTTTATTTTATTTAGTTTTTATTTTATTTTATTTTATTTTATTTAGTTAGTATTTTATTTTATTTAGTTCGTTTTTATTTTAAATTATTTTGTTTTATTTAATTTAATTTAATTTAATTTTGTTTTATTTTGTTTTTATTTTATTTTATTTTATTTTTTCAGCGTAATTGCATTTAACAGAAGCTATTTTTAATAGATTTTTAATAATGAACCCAAAATTCCTTCCAATTGCAGTGAAAACATTTTTATTGACTCTTTATTTTATCGAAAGTTTTAACACTTTTATTCAAAATTGGACTAAAAATGCAAAATAGACGAGATGATTATTATTTCTGAGATGTGTAACTGGACATGTGTAAATAATATGGTCATGTGACGACAATGTAGAAATAATAATAGTAATAATATTTATATACAATGTACAATGTAGAAATATTAAAAAATAATAATAATAATGATGAATTATATATATATATATATATATTTTAGTAAAAGTTTTAGTAATTTTGTTGTTTTCTTTATTCATTTTTTAATGTCTATATAATTTTTATTTTTATTGATTAGTTTTAGGTTATTTAGATTAATTTTAGTGCTTTATTTAATTTCAATTAGCATGTATTTCATTTCTTTTTGAATTGTAGTTTTAGTTGCCGCACTTGTAAAGTAGAGGTCATGAACGGCGGTGTCGGCTGTGTTTCTCAGCTCCCGCCTCCATCAAGCTGCTGGTGGAGGATCCCATCGTGGTGAATCCGGGTCAGACGGTGTCTCTGGTCTGCATCAGCACCGGAGGCGAGCCGGCTCCGAGCCTGAACTGGACCCTCAGCTCCGGATCTCTGCCGCAGAAGAGCCTGATGAAGGACGGGACGCTCACGCTGCCCTCCATCGCCTCCGAGGACGCCGGCGTCTACAGCTGCGTCGCCAGCAACAACGTGGGCAACCCGGCCAAGAAATCCACCACCATCATCGTACGAGGTCAGCTTCACTTTATGTTTGTGTTAATGAATCGTTCAAACCACTTATGATTCATTTGTGAATCGTTCAAACCCCTTATGATTCATTTGTGAATCGTTCAAACCACTCATGATTCATTTGTGAATTGTTATTTTTGTTCAGTTTGTGTTAATGAATCGTTCAAACCACTTATGATTCATTTGTGAATCGTTTAAACCACTTATGATTCATTTGTGAATCGTTTAAACCACTCATGTTTCATTTGTGAATCGTTCAAACCACTTATGATTCATTTGTGAATCGTTTAAACCACTTATGATTCATTTGTGAATCGTTCAAACCACTCATGATTCATTTGTGAATCGTTTAAACCACTCATGATTCATTTGTGAATCGTTTAAACCACTTATGATTCATTTGTGAATCGTTCAAACCACTCATGAGTCATTTGTGAATCGTTTAAACCACTTATGATTCATTTGTGAATCGTTCAAACCACTCATGATTCATTTGTGAATCGTTCAAACCACTCATGATTCATTTGTGAATCGTTTAAACCACTTATGATTCATTTGTGAATCGTTCAAACCACTCATGATTCATTTGTGAATCGTTTAAACCACTCATGATTCATTTGTGAATCGTTCAAACCACTCATGATTCATTTGTGAATCGTTCAAACCACTCATGATTCATTTGTGAATTGTTATTTTTGTACAGTTTGTGTTAATGAATCGTTCAAACCACTTCTCAAATCATTCTGAATGATTCATTTGTGAATCATTTTCTTAGTCAGTTTGTAGTAATTAATCATTCACAAAAAAAGAAACCTTGATTACTTAGATTTTTGACCAATAGCAGCTGAAATGCACTGTACTGTCCGGCTGTGTGTCTTTTTGCTCTGAATTGTGCAGCTGATGATGTTCCTGTCGATCAGATTCGTCTCAGAGCGCTCCAGAGTCTTCAGCACATTACTGTACAGTCATTATTACGTTATTACAGGCACATTACTGTACAGGCCATTTGAGTGAATCTCAGAACCTCTCAGGACACTCTCAGGCCTTATTTCACCCCAAAATCACAAGAAGAAAAAAAAAGCAATCATATTTTGAAGCCTGTTTTAAAGTATTGACAACTATGCATTGTTTAAATAAAATAAAATGCATAAATCTCTCTCATGCCTTTTGCCTTCAGCCAAAATGATTATTAGGCTCTGAATCTCATGAAATATGGCCTGAAGAAATTCTCAGGCACATTTCACCACAAATTCATAAAAAAAGCAATCATATTTTGTGCTATATTCTCATTACTGAAATGCATAAAGAAAAATAAATTAATAAATCAAACTAATATATATATATATATATACAGTAGAATTTATCGTAGAATTTGTTGTACTGGCAAAAAATCTCACTGTGAAATGTTCTGGTCATATTTCATCAATTATATTTTGTGCAAACGTTTGTGCCTTTATGAAAATTAAGGATTATAATTAGGGTCATTAGGATTATTGAATTAATTAAGAATATAAAATGAATAAATAAATATTATGTTTTATATAAATATTTTTTTATATATTTTATATATAATTAATAAGTTTTAAGTTTTTATTAGAATTTGTAAAAAAAAAAAAAATAAGAATATTATTTTGTATATATAATTATAAATGAAGTTTTTAATAGATTTTTAAAATAGAAACAGGGCATATTTCTATGCATTTCTATGCATTAAAAAAAAAGATAATCATATTTTATGCAAAGAAAATTAAGCCTGTTTTTTTTCTGGTATAGGGACATTTATTTTTATTCTTTCTTATTAATTTCCCATTATTTAAATAAATAAATAAATAAATATTTTTAGTATAATTCCCTGTTCCGTACAAAAGATCACTTTTTAATTTGTGTTGTTCACCCTTATGCTTTGTAAGCAGTAGTTCATAACCGAGTAATGTGGTGTTGTAATGTCTGGACTGTAGATGATAGTGGATTGTGGCTGTGAACACTCATCAGTCAGCAGCGTCGCTCCCTAACGAGTGGACATACACACACACGCGTGTATGTGTGTGTTTACGACTGTTAGTCACACTAGTCCTTGAAAAGCCCTCGCCGGCCGCGTCTGTGTTCAGCAGATGGAGGCTTTACTCCACAGCCTGCCGTGACTTTGGCTTTGGCCTGTTCCTCCAGTATCCCAGCATGCTCTTGGCCCTCCATCATGATCCTGCTCTGGATTAAAGGATCCGCTCTCTTTTCCAAAAGTGGGTCAGTTTGCAGCGTTTGGCCGACACAGAGCTCTTGTTTTCGTGTGTTATCCTCCGGTCGCTCCGTCATCAGATGAATCACAGATCTGCTGCACTGACACGTAACCTCCCTCTTTTTACAGTTATTACTTCACTGGTATCATATGTGTCATTTAACTGCTGTAATGTATTAAAATGTAGTGTTTCAATGCCGTCACCTGAAAGCAGCTTGTGACATTTCTACTCATTTGGAATCATCTTTTGGGAAATTATTGCTTTTTTCTGAAATATTGTAAAATAGATTACATTTATAGCGTGCACAAATGAATCGTAGTGTCAGCTGATTTATACGTACCTAAACATTTAAGTAATATATATTTGTTTACCTAAACATTTAAGTAATATATATTTGTTTACCTAAACATTTAAGTAATATATATTTGCTTACCTAAACATATAAGTAATATATTTGTTTACCTAAACATTTAAGTAATATATATTTGTTTATACATAATATACTTGTATTTATTTATTTAGAATGAGTAAACATAAACGCAATTCATTCATTTATTTTAAATAATAGTAACGAGAATTAATTATTTCATATAATTATATAATTATTTATTGAATAAAATTATTATTCATTTACTTATTTAAAGGAAAATGCATAAACATTAAAGATAATTGTTTATTTATTTGTTTATTTGAAAAACAGTAATGCTTTACTTATTGTACACAACAGTAATGGTGTTTATTTATTTATTGAATAACTGTTAAGAGAACTGCTATTTAATTACTTATGTATTTATTTTAAATAACAGTAAAGATAATTTTATCCAGTTATTTTATTATTCATTTATTTAAGTAACAGCAATAAGATCTATTTTTATTCATTTTGAAAAGTGCAGTGCTGATAAAGGTTTATTTATTTATTTATTTATTCATTCATCCGTTTACTTTGAATAACAGTAAACCTTTGTTATTTATTTTAATTATATATTTATTTTAATTAACAGTAACTGTTATTTATTTATTTTGGATAACAATAAAGATACATTTATTCAGTTCTTTTATTGTGTATTTGTTTTAAATAACAGTAAGCAGGACTGTTTATGTATGTATTTAGAAATATCGTACTGAATAGTGTTTATTTATTAAAAAAACAGTAACGAAAGCTAGTTTTAATTAATTTTATTTATTTATTTTGAACAACAGAAATGAGAACAGTTTTATAAAAGCAGCTTGTGACGTTTCCAGTCTCTGACCTCCTCATTTGGAGTTAATTTAACTAAAACAATCTATTATAGAAATGTAATTTTAAAATAAATGGTGTAGTTGATTTTTAGTGAGCCGATGCAGCAGTCGTTGGAGTGTGGAAACGTGCAGAAACACGACACACAAATGAATCTGAGACGCTGCTGTTTGCAGGAACAGTCAAATCACCTTTATTTGTGTGGCGCTTTACACAGTACAGATTGTGTCAAAGCAGCTTTACAGTGTCAAACAGGAAAATAGTTTGTCAATAATGCAAGAAGACAATAAACAAGAGAGTACATTTTTCTGTTAAAGTCAGTTCATTGATGATTCAGTGATTCATCATCCAGTTCAGCTCTCTTCCAATAGTGTCTGTGCAATCAGTCAAGCGTCTCCAACTAATAAACAAGTTGTGTTCTTTTAATAAGACGTTTAATAACAGCCAGTTTGAAGGTTTTGGGGACATATCCTAATGCCAATGACGAATGCATGATATTCAGAAGAGGATCTATGACTTCTGGAAGCACCTCTTTTAGGAGCTTAGATGGAATAGGGTCTAAAATACATGTTGTTGTTTTAGATTATTTAACAAGTTTATACAATTCTTCCTCTCCTATAGTAGAGAATGAGTGGAATTTCTCCTCAGAGGATCTATAGCAAGCTATCTGATGCGATACTGTAGCTGACGGCTGCATGGTTACAATTTTATCTCTAATAGTATCGATCTTGGAAGTAAAGTAGTTCATAAAGTCATTACTGCTGTGCTGTTGGGAAATTTCTGCATCTGTTGATGCTTTATTTTTCATTAATTTAGCCACTGTATTGAATAAATACCTGGGGTTATGTTTGTTCTCTTCTAAGAGAGACGAAAAGTAATCAGATCTAGCCGTTTTTAGAGCTTTTCTGTAGCAGGAAGTACTTTCCTTCCAAGCAATATGAGATACCTCTAGTTTTGTTTTCTTCCAGCTGCGCTCCATTCTCCAGGCTGCTCTCTTTACGGCGCGAGTGTGTTCGTTATACCACAGTGTCGGACTGTTCTTCTTTAATCGTAAAGGAGGTATCTAATATTCATTAAGTCAAGCTTTATCATGTATTTATCTGTTTTTTATTTGTTGAACATCAATTAAATGGTTTTGGCCTTTGAGAATGGCTGTATTGAGAATTAACTGACTTCTGTGATGTGAGGCGGCTAGCAAACGGTCGGTTCCTGACCTGGGCCCCAGTTAATCAAGTACAAACTCTAGGTAGAAGTGTCTGCGCTCGTGAAAACAGACTCGTACTCTCGTGCGCCGTGTGATCTGATGACACTCGTGTGCAGCTTGTAAGTCAACATGTGAACAACCGCCATCACATTCATTGTGGAGCAGATCAAGCGTGTGTGTGTGTGTGTGTGAGAGTGTGTGCGTGTGAGTGTGTGTGTGTGTGTGTGTGCGTGCGTGTGTGTGTGTGTGTGTGTGCGTGCGTGTGTGTGTGTGTGTGTGTGCGTGCGTGTGTGTGTGTGTGTGTGTGCGTGCGTGTGTGTGTGTGTGTG